AAGCTGAGATGGAGGAAAATGATCAGGAAAAAATTCAGAAGATCTCAAGGCCGCTCCTGGTTGAATGTCAAACCAGTCTTGAAAGATGATCTGATAATCCCGTTTGAAGACCACCTGATCCCCTTCCTCACCTGGCCATACCACCTCTCCCAGTTTCTCCCCTGATACATTGTATAGCATTATTAGAGACTTTCTGAACATTTTATAGCATTATTAGAGACTTTCCGAACATTGTATAGCATTATTAGAGACTTTCCGAACATTGTATAGCATTATTAGAGACTTTGCGAACATTGTATAAAGAACCATGAGGATGTGATTGGTGTGGTTTGTGGGATCAATGGTATCCCAGTCATTAACTTGAATTGTTGGCCCCTTACTGAGTGCAGCAACCCAACTTAGAGGCATCGCTTCGTGTAATTGGCTTAATTTTTTCACTGCTATTCTTGATATGTTTAAGAGTTGATTACGGCTGCTGCTGCTGCGTTTTCCAGGTCCCGGTCTGCAAATGTCCCAGGAATCGCCTAGCGTCTTCACCTGAATAGAACGACCGGTAATTATGGCCGTATCTGGACTGAAAGTTGCATCAAATACAGCTGTAATGACTGGGCGTTCTATTCGGGTGAAGACGGTAGCAGAAAGATTCCTCTTTTAACCCAAGTTAGTCAGTGGGAGTCAGTTCAAGTGAAAACGGTTGCCCACTTGCATCAATCAGATTTGCAGGTGGTTGTCTCCAAATTTCATGCCATCTTGGGGGAGGGGGTCTTTTAGTTGGTCCCATTTCTCTCCACAGATGCAACATATTTTTTTTACCCGAACGGGGTCCCTTTTGAGGTCCCATCTGATGCTGTTAGAGTCGTACCATCCCTTCTGTGTTTTGGAGGGCTTGGTATAGACCAGTCACTAAGGATTAACCATCTTAGCGGGTGGACCAGGTTTGAGATGGGGGAACAGGGGGCGAGGTGATTTAACTGAATGCATGCAAGGTGCAACCAAGGAAGGTCATTGGTCATTAGCATCCTGGTTATGACTTTAAAGATTTTAGGGCTTTAATCTTATCCCCGGGGTCCAATATGCCCAGACCACCCATTTTCTTTGATTGTGTAACATATCTCCATCCTACCCTTTTCATGCACTTGATTTGGTCATGGTGGTTTCTCCATAGATAGGCGGAGACCACAACTCCTCTAAGTTCCTTCTTCAGTTGTTTCTTTGGCATCTCAGTACTATCTCCCATAACGCTGTTTTGTACCATATGGTTGCCAGGATAGCATTGTTGATGGCAAGTGCTCTCTACCAATAAGAGAAGTGTACAATCCATCCCATTTCCCAAGGGTAAATGGGATGGATAGGGTAAATGGGATGTCCGGATAGCATTGTTGATGCCAGGATAGCATTTTTCAACCAAGGCTTGTCCATGGCCTGCGGGGGGACCAAGGGCTGTGAGCTTAATGCCAAGGATGGTAATGGCTTTCTCATGCCGGTGCCAATTTAGTAGTTGTTCTTGTGGAGGATGTGGATGCCGAGAATTCATCCACCAGCCTTCTGACTTGGACCCCCAATTAACCTTCATGTCTGCGGCTACCTCAAAGGTTTGTAGTCGACACTACAGCTCTCATGGATGCCTCGGTGGCCTTTATGAGGGTAGCGAGGTTGTCTGCTGACAGGGAGGTAACTGGTACCAGGTGAGATGGAATTTGTGGGATGTCAGTTCTTTCCATGTCAGGATTACCACGAATCATAGCCGCCAGGGCTTCCATGACTATCACAAAGAGAGTCGGGGCCAAAGGATCACCTTGTCTAACTGATCATTACTGAAAAGGTGGGGATAGATGACCATTGACCATAATGTTCGTGGCTGCCGATGTATGCATAATAATAGCGATCCAAAACCTAAAGGATTCTCCAAAGTTCATCTTTTGGAGATAACAATCCATG